CCCCAAAACCCCAAAACCCCAAAACCCCGCAAACTTGAAGAAATATTGAAAATGATCCGGACCTTAATAACTTTTATGGAGTATAAGTTTTAGTAAGCACAAATTATTTTGAGAAGTTAGGACCTACATTATTCAAAAGGATTATGAGAAAGTTAAACTATCTGAAACGTCTATACTCAGGATACCCAACTTGTGGAATCTCAACTGAAATAGCATCAGAACTTGGATCATTGCTCATCTTGTAAAAAGTAGCTTTTGGCCTGAATCTATTTAATGGAGATTTTTCTTCCTTATACTTGTTCTTTGGAGTTTTCGAGAAGTATCTCTTGTGACCCTGAGAAGAGTTTAAAGGAGTCTTTTCTCGATGAGCTTTTATACGATGCTTTCATTTGTGCTTAGGTTTAAATGCCTTGCTATAAAATTTCTCAGGAGATATTTTAGATTTAGTTTTAGCTCTTAACAACTCCTCTTTAAGCATCTTAACTTCTTCCGTTAATACTCTAATCAATAAAGGGTTTTAAATACCTCACTACTTCAGTAAGCTCTCCTGTGTTATCTCCTTCACCATTAACTTTAATAACTTCTTGGTGCTTAATCTCAGTCTGAGTTTCAGCATCTTTGACCTTAATTTTCACAATTTTCTCTTGCTCAACTCTAAAATTCCTATGATAGCTTACTCTACTCTCTTAATCTTCACCTTGCCTCTGCTTGTTTTTACCCTATTTGGTTGAAATATGTTTCTAAAATGATCAGGATGTCATACCTTCTTATTCTTCCTGCTGGGCTTACCCTTTTCAACAGAGATTTGACCTCAATCGCTTGCTACTTCTTGGTGAAAGTTGAAGGTGCCATTGTAGATATTTTCTAGAGAATTTGAGGAATTTAGCCATACCTTTCCCTGGCCCTGATGGGTTCCCAGCAAAGACATCTGAGCTAACACAATATCTATGATGAGGTTTGCGATTTTGGTGTGCAAAACTCTCAGTTTCAGTATGAGAATTATGGTAATATTTTCCTTCTGAGGACAAAGAGTCAGGCCAATCGAGCTCGTTCCGGTGCAACCTATCTGAGAATAAGGGAATATCTCTCAAAGGCTGCTTTTGAGCTTCATATGGATTATTTATCTTATCCATCTCTATTTTGAGGTTTGCTATGTATTAAATTTAGAGTATTTACCTAGCTTGACAGCAACTATATCCTGAGGTGGGCCAGAATAGGAAGAGTTCCTCTTATAAATGTTCATCTTGAGTGAATAAATTTTAAAATTTAAATTCAAAAGGGGTTTTGGGGTTTTGGGGTTTTGGGGTTTTGGGG